GCATCATTAGAAATAGATGGTGTTCCATGCTTATAGTATTCACATACCAAATATGAACAAAATCGCTCCACTACTTTTCGAGTATTAGTAAAATACGTTAAAATGGCGGCCATTTTTCAAAATTGTTTTCAAAATGGCCGCCTTCTACCAAAAGTGTCATAGGACAGTGTGCCATGCTTATAGTATTCACATACCAAATATGAACAAAATTGCTCCACTACTTTTCGAGTTATAGTAAAATACATTAAAATGGCGGCCATTTTTCAAAATTGTTTTCAAAATTGCCGCCTTCTACCAAAAGTGTCATAGGACAGTGTGCCATGCTTATAATAGTATTCACATACCAAATATGAACAGAAGCGCTCCACTACTTTTCGAGTTATAGTAAAATACGTTAAAATGGCGGCCATTTTTCAAAATGGCCGCCTTTTACCAAAAGTGTCTTTGGACAGTGTGCAATGCTTATAGTATTCACACACCAAATATGAACAAAATCACTCCACTATTTTTTGAGTTACAGCAAAAATCGTAAAATGACGAGTAAAGGCCGCCATTTTTCAAGATGGCTGCCATGTGCTTTTTAATATCTACATTTGTAGCATTATTAATGTCCTTTATAATTTTTTTACATTTAAAACATATTGCTATTACAGTTTTACATATTGCACCTAAATTACTGTAAAATCGTCACTAAAATGGCCGCCATTTTGAAATGAGTGGCCATTTTGAAAATCGGCTTTCGAGCAGAACTTCTACCCCCATAGGGTATATGTGTACGAAATATGAACAAAATCGGGCCAACGGTATTTAAGTTATTGCCCGGACGGACGGACGGACGGACGGACGGACAGACAGACGGACGGACGTACGTACGTACGTACGTACGTACGGACGGACGGAGGCGTTCCCTATATCCCTCCGAACTTCGTTCGATGGGATAATGATGTCTCTGTGAGTAACTAGTGATTCTTCTTCAACTTCCTTCTGATTTGATCATCATTAAAATTGCAAATCTGTTTTTCGAATATATGGACATGGGTTAACAAAGTGACTTCAACCTGTGAACCCTTGAGTAACATTCCGGGATTGCGTCTTTTATACTAAATGGTGAGCAACACCAAAAGCGAGCGTTTGATTTGCTAAACGCTATGCATTACCCTTTAATACCCATAAGCCATAATATTAACACCATGAACCAGGAAGAGTGAATCAATTTTAGCTTCCAAACTGCATTCCAAATTCAGCAAAAGGATGTTCATTAATTCCTTTCTGAGAAAAATCATCAACTTCAGTCTTCACACGCTCTGGGTTCCCTCCTTTCTATTATAACTTAAATTCGATTCGAAGTAATGGTTGTTTTTTAATGGAAAGAGGAAAATTTACAAGGAATAATATAAATAAGCATGCGTTAACATTAACAAATGAATAAAGGGTTCAGAATATCACATCTAAAAGAGGGCTCAAAACTCATAGCTTCCTAACTGGCTGTCAATGTAAATCATTTTTTCATTATGGGCAATGAACTTATAGAAATGAGCTTCCTATTAGGTTATAGATTGAACGCAGAGATGTCACCAGGAAATGTTTAGGGTGTGGTGGAAACATCTACAACACAAGGCATTAACATGACAAAATGTCACCACCTAGTTGCTCACAATATTATGAGTTCAAACTTACGTAAGTCAGATTTGAATTTCTGAGAACTTGTAAAGTCAAATTTGAACTTCTGAAAAGATGTAGATGATTTTGAAAAAAAAATTTGGTCAATTTGAAGCAAGTTGAAAACAGACCTTTTTGACCTTTTTTGACCTTGAGAAGGTCATTAAAGGTCAAATGTCAAATCTAAAGTCAGATTTGAATTTCTGAGAACACGTAGATGATTTTGAAAAAAAATAAGTCAATTTGAAGCAAGTTGAAAAAAGACCTTTTTGACCTCCTTTTTTGACCTTGAGAAGGTCATTGAAGGTCAAATGTCAAATCTAAAGTCAAATCTTAAGTCATATTTGAATTTTTGAGAACATGTAGATGATTTTGAAAAAAAAATTAGTCAATTTGAAGCAAGATGAAAAAATACCTTTTTGACCTTTTTTGACATTGAGAAGGTCATTGAAGGTCAAATGTCAAATCTAAAGTCAGATTTGAATTTCTGAGAACATGTAAATGATTTTGAAAAAAAAATTTAGTCAATTTGAAGCAAGTTGAAAAAAAGACCTTTTTGACCTTTTTTGACTTTGAGAAGGTCATTGAAGGTCAAATGTCAAATCTTAAGTCAAATCTAAAGTCAGATTTGAATTTCTGAGAACACGTAGATGAATTTGAAATTTTTTTTTAGTCAATTTGAAGCAAGTTGAAAACAGACCTTTTTGACCTTTTTTGACCTTGAGAAGGTCATTTAAGGTCAAATGTCAAATCTAAAGTCAGATTTGAATTTCTGAGAACATGTAGATGATTTTGAAAAAAAAATTAGTCAATTTGAAGCAAGTTGAAAAAAGACCTTTTTGACCTTTTTTGACCTTGAGAAGGTCATTGAAGGTCAAATGTCAAATCTAAAGTCATATTTGAATTTCTGAGAACATGTAGATGATTTTGAAAAAAAATTTAGTCAATTTGAAGCAAGATGAAAAAATACCTTTTTGACCTTTTTTGACATTGAGAAGGTCATTGAAGGTCAAATGTCAAATCTTAAGTCAGATTTGAATTTCTGAGAACATGTAGATGATTTTGAAAAAAAAATTTAGTCAATTTGAAGCAAGTTGAAAAAATACCTTTTTGACCTTTTTTGACTTTGAGAAGGTCATTGAAGGTCAAATGTCAAATCTTAAGTCAAATTTAAAGTCAGATTTGAATTTCTGAGAACACGTAGATGATTTTGAAAAATTTTTTTAGTCAATTTGAAGCAAGTTGAAAACAGACCTTTTTGACCTTTTTTGACCTTGAGAAGGTCATTGAAGGTCAAATGTCAAATCTTAAGTCAAATCTTAAGTCAGATTTGAATTTCTGAGAACACGTAGATGATTTTGAAAAAAAAATTTAGTCAATTTGAAGCAAGTTGAAAACAGACCTTTTTGACCTTTTTTGACTTTGAGAAGGTCATTGAAGGCTAAATGTCAAATCTTAAGTCAAATCTAAAGTCAGATTTGAATTTCTGAGAACACGTAGATGATTTTGAAAAAAAAATTTAGTCAATTTGAAGCAAGTTGAAAACAGACCTTTTTGACCTTTTTTGACCTTGAGAATGTCATTGAAGGTCAAATGTCAAATCTAAAGTCAGATTTGAAGGTCAAATGTCAAATCTAAAGTCAGATTTGAATTTCTGAGAACATGTAGATGATTTTGAAAAAAAATTGAGTCAATGTGAAGCAAGTTGAAAAAAGACCTTTTTGACCTTGAGAAGGTCATTGAAGGTCAAATGTCAAATCTAAAGTCAGATTTGAACTTCTGAGAACATTTAGATGATTCAGAAAAAAATTGAAGTCAGTCTAAACAGTATTTGTTAAATTATAGGAAGTTGTAAGAAATTGTTACAGACGCCAACCGCCGGACGCCGGACACCAACCACCAACCGCCGGACGCCGTCACAAAAAAACGGAGACCATAACAATATGTCACCACTTTTGGTGGTGACATAATAACCATTCAATCATGATAAATCATATTATGGTATATATTATCCACTTTACAGGGTGTTCCAAAAGTAACAGGACTGGTACTGGTATTTTGTTAAATATGCACCAATCATCTTCAAAATTTTACATAATGTACTTCCATGTATTGTAACTAAAATTACAAAGTTTCGACAAAAATTATGAAACACTGGTAGAGTTATGGTTGCTATAGTAACATGACATCACAATACCCGGGGCAACATTCCACACAGAAAGTTACAGAGACTCTTACAGAGACTTTTTAAGTTTTGTACATCCCATATCAAAGTTGAAATGCAACAACTGGTGGGAATTACATTTGCTTTTATCATTTGATGTTGTATGTACCCTCTACTTTGAAAAGTAGGCTCCTCTTTGGTCAGTACAAGATCAGAGTACCACTCCATGAGTCAAACACATGAGTGAACCCATTTGAGGACAAGTCACGCATGGTCAACTGGACAACTTGGAGAGCGTCATTCTCATCTTTAAAGGTCTTACCGTGCTGATTAGCATTCCATTCTCCAAGTAAAAAAATGGATATTACATGATCAGAAGAGTATGGTTCATGGTCTTAGACCTCAGGACCTAGCTCCTCTATAGTTGCAGTGGTCTTTAATACTGACTTGCAGGCAGACGCGTTATCAAGGTGGATGACTGGCTTATTCTGAATTGGGTCTTTTCAAAAACTCAATAATTATACTGTCATACACTACAGAGTGATATTCCAGGAAATTGAATAAATATTATAATCATGAAATCATACTTGAATCTGAGTTGTATAGCAACACCATTATAACAAAGCAACTAATGAAACTAACAAGAAATGTTGTATTGTAAGAGGTGAATTAAACACTTTCTTCAGGAATACAAAAATGTACATCTTCATGAAAAAGTTGCCCCGGGTATTGTTATGTCATGTTACTATAGTAACCACAACTCTAGCCACATTTCATCAATTTTTCTAAAACTTTACAATTTTAGTTCCAATACTTCAAAGTACAATTTGTGAAAATTTGAAGACACTCGGTGTAGAATTGACAAATTGCCAGCACCAGTCCTATTACTTTTGGAACACCCTGTACATGCTATTATCACATATATCAGTTAAGTTTAGGCGATGGAAACAAATATGATTTTCCAAAGGTTGTGGTAGGAGCTTAACAGACTGTGGTGCTGCTCCTCCACAGCGTAAAAGTCTAGCGAGAGCCCTGGAACGCCAATATATTCGGCAATTATGTTTTGAACCTTCAATCACGAACCCTGATCTAGAAAAATGATATGAAAAAACATGTTGTACGGGAAAATAACCTGGAGAAATTGCCAAATATGTTAAAGTAGAGAACATGTACTTACTTTCTGTTGTAGGTGTGGCAGATGAACATAGTGATCTCTGAAGAAGCAGTGAGTGACCTGAGCGCAGAAATATCTGTAACACATAGAAAAATATCTGTAACACATATAAAATATTTGTAACAAAGAGAGAAATAGCTGTAACAAAGAAAAATATCTGTAACACAGAGAAATATCTGTAACATAGAGACATATCTGTAACATAGAGGCATATCTGTAACAAATATAAAAATATCTGTAACATAGAGAAATATCTGTAACATAGAGACATATCTGTAACAAATATAAAAATATTTGTAACACAGAGAAATATCTGTAACAAAGAAAAATATCTGTAACACAGAGAAATATCTGTAACAGAGACATATCTGTAACAAATATAAAAATATTTGTAACAAAGAGAGAAATAGCTGTAAAAAGAAAAATATCTGTAACACATAGAAATATCTGTAACATAGAGACATATCTGTAACAAAGAGCACAATGGCTGTTACAGAGGATAATATCTGTAACATAGACAGCAATATTTGTGACATAGAAAGCAACATCTGTAACACATTCAGAAATATCAGTAACAAAAGTACATAAATGAAGAGAATTAATTTAGAGGAATAGATAGACGCTTTTGAAACACATGATAAACATCCATTTTGGTCCAGTTAGATAAGAAGAATTTGTCAAGTCAAGGCCTTCAAATACCAAAATCAAAATTGTGCAAATTTTCTATGCAAAATAGCAAATTCTTTGAACAAAAACATTAAAAAATTCTAGATGTTCAGGGGTTTCACAACAGGCTAAATAAATGAAAACAACAGGCATGGAAATCATGAATTTAGCATGGAAAATTTGAAAAGTCCCTAAAAACAACAGGAGATTTTGTGAAAACAACCGGTGAAAATCGCCTGTTGCCTGCTGCTAATGAAACCCTTGAATGTTCTTAATTGTCACACAACTATCGCAAAGCCTATGAGAATAATCTAAACTAATAGCCACAATTAACTTGTTCTGAGGATGAGTAAAAGATAAACAGGACATAAATATCAATAATCTGAAAAGGAGGTTGAACATATCATACATCTTACCATTCCAACGAATAGAACCCAATACGAACATAGCACTTTAAAATATAATACTGTAGGCTAGTGCAATAACAATGAAAAGGTGAGGGATTCTTTTCTTGCCCTCTATTACTTGATCTCAAGGAGCAACTAGCACTCAACCTTGCAAGGATACCCAATTTCAACATTCACATTATGACAAACTAAACGCAAAAGAGAAACTAGATACATTGTTATATGGTGGCTCTACATATAAAATTGAAACTAACAAGCTTATAGTCACAAAAACTTCTAACTTTATTTTTTCGATTGTAGATTATGTTTAACTTTAATATAATTGATGTGTGCGTAATATTACATTTTAACTTAAACATATTGTAATGTTGAGTGTTTAGCAGCCTGAAATTATTTGATTATTATGTGCCTACTAACTCTATTTTAGAAATTGTACTTTGTATATGTGAAAATCGACATGGGTCACTAATGCCAATGGCCTTGGCCCATTGTCGGACATTGTGTAATGATAGCATTAATAAATAAAACATAACTTTAAAAAAATCAGAAATATCACTGTATAATACTGCATTTACCAACACTTTTTTAATCTTGGAATCAACCAATAGCTAAGAATAACAATGCATGACAATTTTCTATAAATGCGACTTGTCTGGCATGTATTGTTGCAATTTCAGGAATCATAATATATTTTCTCCTACGACACATTCTGGGATACATGATTAACATGTACAATGCATCTGCAGAGCCATATCAAGGGAAGATATTGCCTATATGATAATATAATGTAATAAAGATTTCCTATAAAGTCCCCCATGTGACATAAAACAACTGTTCACTTATCCATCCATTACTCCATCAACTTTTTATGATCCTACTTAAGAACTGCACTTTAAGTCTTGTGTGTTAAGTATGAACAATGAACTCTCTCTGAGATGTAATAACTAAATTCACGCTGTAAATGCAGAAATAGATATCTAGGAACTTGGCCGAAGTTCTTTATATAGCAAGGGTTAATTAATCCATATAAAATGTTAACCGCCCTAGATGTAACACCCTTGATGTTTCGGAAGTGTAACAATTGGTTACAAAAACCAAACACTGATACTACCATTCACAAAACCTAGTGGCTATAACAATATTTTAAACTTCTTGGTAGTGACATGACATGCAAAATGTTACCACCTGCCATTTGTTACAGATACAGCCCACAAAAGTTGGAGATAAAAACAATTTTTCACTACTTGTGGTGTTGACAATAAAAACAGCCAGAAAACATTCAAAACAAAAACATGTTACATCCAGAAATAAGGCAACATCTATATCATCATCGACTTGTAGAGCCCCAGGAGAAAGAGATACATACAAGCAAGATTGGTTCAATAACAGTTAACTTAACACAAAAAGTGACTAGAATATCCGTTATCAATGTCAGAGTCACCCTGACTTACATTCTATTTTTCAACTCTCAACAAAAACAGGGTTTTGTCATTTTGAGGAAAAAATTCAATGTTGATGTCAGTCCCAGACACTCACAATTTTCGCCTGGTGTCAAAATAACTACCTGGCCAATTTCCGGGTAGTTATTTGCTCTCCTCAGGTAGTTGTATATTTCTAATACTTAATGAAATTCAAAAATAACATACAGCCAGATCCATCACGTTATGAGAGGAATATCAGCAGAAATAATGTTCATCCAGGAGATTTCTTTGTAGATATACGAGGGTTGATCATAAAGTTCTCATAATATCTCTCTTATTTCTTTATTTTTCAATATTTTCAAATGAAATTTTCACAGAATGTGCAGCATGGAATGTTTTATTAATCAAGCAAACAATATTTAGAATAACAGAAACATTAGATAAGAAATGGTTGCCATAGTAACTTGAAATCAAGGCACCCGGGGCAAATAAAAAAACTAACTCGAATAGCCCCCATTAACCATGTTTAAATACATAATAAGTTGTCAAATAAGCTATCAAACATATTAAATTGTCAAATAATATGGGCTCTTAACTGTTGTGAACTATTATAATGGTCATGTGAATTGTGTGATCTCATAATGGATGATTGTTATGCTTCATTTGAAGTGACTGTTAGACCCCATGACTGTTTTGTCAAACATCCTGAGGAAAATTGATTTTGCCCCTTTAGTTCATTTTTAACATGTACAGATCACACACAGGGTGTAATTTTGTTGATATCTTAGCAATATATTTGTTTTAGATCATGTTTAGTCTGACCAAAGGATCTTACAAACTTAACATAACATTTTATCAGTATGATTTTTATTTTTCTGAAGATGTCTGCTTCTTTTGCAACCTCTTACTCAGTCATTTCTGATCATTAGCTTTGCGTCTTAGACATTGGTATCACATCTAATGGAGCATGAAAGCACCCCTATGACATCACACAATTTACATGATCGATTTATTTAATTCTTAAAGCACTTTACAACATATTCAAGTTAAAATCTTAAGATGTTTGGTAATTCATGAGAGTTTATTATGTATGTATACATGGTTGATTAAGCTCATTCTCTCAATTACTTTTATTTGCCCCGGGTGCCTTGATTTCTCGTTACTATGGTAACCATTTCTTATTTAATATTTCAGTTAAACTAAATACTTTTTGCTTAATTAATAAGGCATTCTATGCTGCACATTCTGTGAAAATTTCATTAGAATATATTGAAAAATAAAGAAATTAGAGACATATTATGAGAACTTTATGATCAACCCTCGTATATGTTAGTTAGTCTTGATGAAATATCCAACTGTGAATATATTTTGACACTGGTCCATGATCGTTGAATGGCCCCTCTGCACTACTTGTTGCACCTTTAATTCTGATATAAGATTATTGTTAGTTTCCAACTAATAAGCAATTAATTTATTAGTTTTGGTTCAATTTATTGAGTGTATCTCAGTTATTTCTCGGGGGTTTATGTTGAATTGTTTTCAAAATAGCACCATTCAGTTCCCGGGAGTTTGTCGCAATAATCTTTTGAGCAAAATATGTTGAAAGAATAACTATTCTGGAGAAAGGTGGCAAAAATCACGACTGTTAAAAATTTCAGGTGGCTATTCTTTAAAATAAGGTAGTTATTAACTACCATTGCAATGCGAGTTTCGAGCCCTAGATCTGTTACTGTTTGACAGGGAGGGGGTCAAAAGGTGGCTGGGGATGGGGAGAAGTTGTAGGTGGTGGAGTGGGGGGGGGGGGTAAATTGATTCGGGGGTCTATAATAAACACATAGACTCTATATTATTATTTCAACTTGCATTTTTATGTTTTACTCCACTGTTTCCTTTACTCCTTTCATATTTCACGTGTCTCATCTCATTTACATGAGGACTTTAAGATTAAGGTATGCCACGTAGAATGAATTTCATGGTTTATAAACTTTGAGTTTTTCTAGAAAGGGATAAAAGACATCACATTCTTCCTACCTTATCATTCAAGATGCCTAATGCATATTAAACACATGGCTTAAGTGTAAAATGGGAAATAAATTGAAGATGATATAATCAACAAGATACATCAATTCAATATGTCAATCGGTTACACAGTTTCTATCCAGACATGTCAATGCGACTTTGAAGTAATCATTCAGTTAAGTTTCAACTGAATAAAATAGACCGGGCAGCATCTATGACAGCCTAAATGAATATATGAGCTAAAAAATACAGAGAATTTTTTTGTGCTTATTTTTTTCACCTAAAGGCGTCATTCTGATTCTTATGACCCCTTCTTACAATATACGAGATATTGCCAAGTACACAGACATTATTTTGAAAAAACTAACCATCTAAGAGCCAAATTTAATGAAAAGTTCTTTTGGATAAAATACTTTGTGTATTAAACATGCAGTACTTTAGAAACTTTAAAAGAGAGCTTCATCAACATCAAAACTAGCCTTCTTTTCACTCCTTCTCATTGAAGAGTTTCGAAGAGCTTTTCGCAACCAAATAGACCTAGACGATCAACTTATTTTAATCTA